GGGGGGGGAGACAGGGGAAGCAGAGCTGTGGTCCCCCATTGCTATTGCTCGTTCTTCCCTTGCTGTAATCTGTACTCAGATGATGGCATGTTGCTTGTCTCAGTGAAGGAAACTGGATAATTTGTGAATTGTTGGTGGGAGAGAAAAAATGGATGTAAATGATGGTGGATGAAGACTGGAATGAGTATATGGGAAGAGCACTAAATGAGAATCTTGATGTTGTTTTTTGGTTGGATATAACTGACAAGAAAGGAGCTAAATTCACTAGCAAACAGCTTTCATCTCTGTCGAATATCCAACACTTATGACATCCTAAAGCTCCAGCTAAGCAGATAATTTCAAGCTGTTAAGTGACGCAAGCTAGGATATGCCAAAGAGAAAGGTAATTTGGAGCGTTGTCTAACTTGCTGGAGAATGTTCCAGCAGAGGTCCTCATAGAAGTAGTGGCCTGGCTGTTTCTCGCCTTGACAGATTTTTTCTATTGCAAGAAGTAGAAAATGATATACTCCTTCCAATAGAAAATGGGTCCCAACAGATTGATTTTCAGTTATGAATGTTTTACTTGGAACATGACAGCTATTTTTTTTTTATTGATTTTACTTTGTCCATATTGATTTTTTTTACATGCTTGCAGGAGATAGTTTCCATCTACCCTGTTTTGTCACCGCCAAACCTGACTCCAGCACAATCTAATAGAGTTTGTAATGCTTTAGCACTTCTTCAGGTATATAGATTTCTTTTCCATATGGAGTTATTCTCAAATGATTCTTCATGATGTTTCCTTTAATCATCTCTCATCGACAATGTGTAAAGTCATGAGTTATTGCCATGTAATGTTTTCCTTCATAAGAAGTAACAGCTTTATACTACCCAAAAGAGCCTTTTCAGTTAGGAACATTTATTCAGCTGTAGGATGTAGACACTTGGATATGTTTGGGGTTGTGGTTTATGTATCAAGAGGGAGAAAGGAGAACACCGTACNTACCTCCTCTCCTGGCTTGAGTAGAGATTCACATGTTTCAGCTGGAGATGCTTTTCAATGGTATTGCGAGAAGCAGTACCAAGCATGTTTCCGTCTTTACTGCTATCACCAAAAGTAGTTCGATGTTGTTCAAAGCCTTGTATCTCGTCAATTACAGTATACTGTACATTTCAGTCTCAATTGACTGAAAGTGAGGTCATTGTAAAAACAGGGTTCATGATTTTGGTTTCTATTAATGTATATCCAATCATGGTCTGCATTCCATGTCTTTGGTGAAAAATAGAGAAATGACAGAATGATTGTCAATGCAGAAATGACACAATGATTGCAATGCACCCGCAGGTATAGTCTCAAAACTTCTATAATAATCTCTCTCCTCTTTCCTCTCTCAATATATGCAAGTTCAAAAGAAAGCTAAGCAACGGTCTCTCTATTTCTTTTCGTTTTCCCCTAGTCTTAATCTATTAGGTTTTAGCATGTCCCAAGTACTTGACGAACAGATGAAAACGTCTTCGTCTATAAGGCTACTTTATTTCATCAATTACAAGTGCATTCCAGCAAATGATAATACAATACAAAGTTTCTTTGGCCCTTACATTCAAGTAGCTTAACCCCAGATCAAAATAACTCCTACTTATCCTAAAGTAACAAGTTAGAATCAGAGAAGGAAAACAAATGTGTACAAGCTATTGGTATGCTAATCTGACTCCTCTAGCCGTTCATTATCAAGTTCTTTCACTCGCTGGACTGCTTCTTCAACACTTCTTGATAAATGATCAGTGTGATCCTCAATGAATTTCAACAACGTTCGTAGTTGTTCTTGGTAAGCTGCACACCTCCGCTTACATCGCTGCCTCTCATTATAAAGTTCAAGGGTCAGCTCTCGAATTCTTTGATCCTTCTCATCCTAAAACAAGCAAAATTGTAAGTCACTGAAGAAAAAAAAATATAAGATCACGTGTGGTGAATTCTCCCACAGAAAAAAAGAGATCATCTTAGGCAAAAGATATTTCAACAGCTTTGAGTAGGGGCAATAGCAGAATGATTAAGTTCCAACATAGTGCATTTCCTTATCGTAAACAGTCTCTCTGCCCTTCCAGGGTAGGGGTAAGGCTGCATACATCTTACCCTCCCCAGACTCCACTTGTGGGAATTCACTGGGCATGTTGTTGTTGTTGTTGTATAGTGCATTTCCTTGTAGCAAAAACAAAATAGACCGCAGATAAATTGGCCTGCCAATCGAGTCATTCTCCCTCTTTCAAACATATATAACAGAAGTATATGTAAGTATGCACCGTACTGGAGGGCCCACATTAATCCAGTTGATTGTTTCATATTGTTCATAATGGTTGAGAGAGTCCTCTTCATGCAACTAGGTCAAGAGTTCGATGCTGGTAGGCTGCCAAAAAAAAGAAAATCCTATAAATGGTAGCTTTTGCAGTTCATTTTAAGAGCAAATTTGTTTTAAGTTTCTATTTTTGGAACACATGGCATATCTGAGACCACATTTCATGTGTCAAATATTTTCATAGATGTGCTTTTGGAATTGTAACCCTACAACTTTCTTTTTTTTGTTTGATTAGGTGTAACCACTACAAGTATCAATTTAATTCTTATGCAGGTCAAACGTCCAACTAATGAAAATGTTTTTCCTTCTGTTTCATTTTGCAGTGTGTAGCCTCTCACCCTGACACCAGAATGTTGTTCCTCAATGGTAATATTTTTTTCCTTTTCTTATGTTATGTCACTATGTGGTCGTGTATAATTTACATCACTAAGAACGTCTTTATTCCAGTTGAATTGGATCATAAACCATCGAAATGAGGAATCCCTTTAGCTGCAACTCTGGAAATCAATTTTACTTTCATTTGCAGTTGCACTTGAATTTACTTCTTATTTTCACAAAACATAACTCATAGCACAGAATCCTTTAGAATCAAGTTGGTGTCACTTTTTGGCTAGAAAAATCTTGATGGGAGAATTGATATTTCATATTATTCAGACATTAAGTCGTTATCATTGCATTCATTGTTTTTCCCTGCAATCAAGTAATGGACACCCTCCTTTCTTGCCACTCCAATGTCCAGAAAGATACATAAAAGAAGAAAATGACTTATATGCTTGTGGCTTCATGTTCATTGGAGCATTGACTTAAACAAATGGGGTTTTGTTAGTTGCGCACCCATGCTAAGTGCTTTGGAACCTTTCACTACATATACTGTTACTCTTAAAGAAACATACTTTCCTTGCCTTTCAATTCATGATGTGTTCCAAGACCTGCATCAACTTTTGTGTGATGATAATTAGGAAAATAGAACTTGAGTGAGATTTCTAGAGTTTTTGTGGAAATGGTTCCATAAGTATTAGTGTATAACACCTTGGCAAACTTGATCCTCATATATCTCCTTTGAGAAATTAATGGATTTGCTGCTTCACATGTGCCTCAGATGACCAAATAATATATGCCCAATTCAGGCGATCCTATTTGGGGAAGAAATCTGAGATTTCCTTGCTTAAAACGTATAATTGCGGGAAAATAGTCACTCCATGTGACCAGGGTCTTCACCATTCCCAATCTTCTCCAAGTTAGAAGCCTTAACTGGTGTTATTTCTGCTCCATCAAAGGAGTGAAGAAGCCCTACTGTTTTGCTTCTGCAGCCCTCTGGTAGATCCATAAGTACTACAAGAGCACTGAGTTCTGGTATCGAAGCTCTCCTCCCAGAGGCTGGTCAAAAAGTCACGTAGGACTTCGAGTGATATTAGATCCTAGAGCGCTGTTGTGGCAGCCTAAGTTGCTCGGACTCGGGTGCGGGCATCCGATACTGGCACGGATCCTAGTGTCGGATTCGGTAAAATCTAAATTTTAAGATTCGGGGGTGCGGATCCAGGTATGGATACGGGTGCGGGGATTCGGCTAAAAAATTCAAAATTATAAAAAATAGAACTATAAGTCGGAAGTCAGAACACGACCCCTTAAATTCTTAGTTTTTCTGGAACACAAAGTAGCAAATATGAGACAAAAGTACTACAATATTGAAGGTATGTCATTTCGTGTCACGACCCAAATACTAACCCGTCGTGATGGCGTCTATCGTGGTACTAGCCAAGCCGACATTTCCAAAATACTTCCAACATTTAACAAAAAAAGAATAAAGAAATTTAAAATAACCGGAGTTTTCATAAAAAAGTGGGTAAACCCAAACACAAGTGCGGAAACATAACTCCCAAATTGGGGTGTCACTGAGTTCATGAGTATCTATACAACCAGTCTAGAAAGAAGGGTCTACAAGAGTCTGTATCAAAATACAAATAAGGAAACGACAAGGAAGGAAAAACAAGGACTGCGAACGCCGAGTAGCTACCTCGTAAATCTCCAACGATCAACCGCGCATGAGATCAACGCCCACCGTGCCCGGAAACACCTAGATCTGCACACGAAGTGCAGGGTGTAGCGTGAGTACAACCAACTCAGTAAGTAACAATAATAAATAAGGAACTGAAAGATAGTGACGAGCTACACAGTTATAGTTCATTTTAGTAATCTCAGCAAGAAAGTAGACATGCTTTCAAATCCGGCAATTTAAGTCAAATCGGTTATACATTATCAAGTTTAGGTAAAACCGGATAGAATATCTTCCAGAAATTTCAAATCAGTGACATATATTAGCTAAGTACAACAACAAATGAAAGCAAGTACAGCCTCTCAGGGCAATAGTCACTCAATCTTTCTCAATAGCTCAATCACTCGGCTCTCAGCCCTCAACACTCACACTCAATAGGTACCTGCGCTTACTGGGGGTGTACGGACTTCGGAGGGGCTCCTTCAGCCCAAGTGCTATATCGCTGCGGTGTGCAACCCGATCCATAATATATAAATAGCCATAAGGCTCGTTGCGGCGTGCAACCCGATCCATATACATACTGCCCTCAGGCTCGTTGCGGCGTGCAACCCGATCCATATACATACTGCCCTCAGGCTCGTTGCGGCGTGCAACCCGATCCATATACATACTGCCCTCAGGCTCGTTGCGGCGTGCAACCCGATCCATATACATACTGCCCTCAGGCTCGTTGCGGCGTGCAACCCGATCCATATACATACTGCCCTCAGGCTCGTTGCGGCGTGCAACCCGATCCATATACATACTGCCCTCAGGCTCGTTGCGGCGTGCAACCCGATCCATATGTACACATATATCTCACAGCTCGGCACTCAGGGCGTAACTCAGTCACCAACCTCTCTAGTCTCTCGGGCTCTCAGAAATCATACAAATCAGCCCAAACAGAGATAATAACATGTATCAACAAGAAACAAGAAGAGACGGAGATATGATACGCAAGTGAAACCGTGACTGAGTACAAGACAACAAATAGCAGCTAATTCAACAAGTACACGACCTCTGCGGGTCCCAACAGTGACATCATATAGCCTAAGCATGATTTCTAACATGATTTGCAGTCAAATTTCTATAACACAGGGAGAGCATATAGCTAACAGCAAGTTATTCAACTTTATAGTTTTACGGGACGGACCAAGTCACAATTCCCACGGTGCACGCCCACACGCCCGTCACCTAGCATGGGCGTCACCTCCAAACCAATCACATAACGCATAAATCCGGGGTTTCATACCCTCAGGACCAGATTTTAAACTGTTACTTACCTCAATAAGCAAAACTCTACTCGAATATGCCTTTGCCTCGCGAATCGGCCTCCAAATGACCCGAATCTAGCCACAAGCAATATAATATAATCAATATAGGCCTAAGGAATCAATTTTACAAGAAAAATACGAAACTATAGCCAAAATCCGAAATTGGCTCAAACCCGGCCTCCGGGCCCACGTCTCAAAATCCGACAAAAGTCACAAAACCTGAAAGCCCATTCACTCACGAGTCTAACCATACCAAATTTACTCAAATCTGATAACAAAATCCCATTCAAAACCCCAAAATTCTAGCCTAAGAACTCTTCCTCTTTTTCCCCAATTTTTCATCCCAAATCACAAATTAGATGATGGAATTAAAGGCATAATCATGGAATTTGACCAAAATTAGATAGGAATCACTTACCCCAAACACCTACGCAAGAATCTCTCCAAAAACCACCTACCGAGCTCCCACTTCAATTTTATGATATGAACTCGAAACCCTCGTTTTGAATCTTTTAAATCTGCCCAGATATACCTTCATCGCGATCGCGAAGCACAATTATGCTGCCCCACAAATTAACTCTACGCGAACGCGGAATCTCCCACGCGAACGCGATGCTCTGCCCCACTGACTTACACGATCGCGAACTGCCTCATGCGTTCGCAATGAACAAAACACTTGACCTCAGATCCTACTCCTTTTCCTCTTCGCGAACGAGGCCTAGTCCACGCGTTCGCGTAACACTGCCCCTCAAAGCTACACGATCGCGGTCCACCACTCGCGAACGCGTAGGGCAAATTCCCTCAGCGGCCAACTTAGCCTACACAATCTCGGACCTGACCACGCGATCACGTATAAGGAAACCAGATGAGCAAAAACCAGAAACTTCAGCTATCAAACTAAGTCCAAAATTGATCCGTTAACCACCCGAGGCCCCCGGGACCTCAACCAAACATAGCATGAAGTCCCAAAACCTCATACGAACTTAGTCGAACCCTCAGATCACCTCAAACAACATCAAAAGCACGAATTGCACTCGGATTCAAGCCTAATGAACTTTGAAATTTTCAAATTCTACAAACGACGCCGAAACCTATCAAATCACGTCCGATTGACCTCAAATTTTGCACACAAGTCATAAATGACACCACGAACCTACACCAACTTCCGGAAATCCAATCCGACCCCGATATCAAAATGTCCATTCTCGGTCAAACTTTCCAAAATTCCAACTTTCGCCATTCAAGTGTAAATTCGACTACGGACCTCCAAATCACAATCCGTACATACTAGTAAGTCCAAAATCACCTAACGGAGCTAACAGAACCGTCAAAATTCAAATCTGAGGTCGTTTACGCATAAGTCAACATCCGGTCAACTTTTCCAACTTAAGCTTTAAATTAAGAGACTAAGTGTCTCAATTCACTCTGAAATCACTCCGGACCAGAACCAACTAACCTGATAAGTCATATAATAGTTGTAGAACATAAAAGGAGCAGTAAATGGGGGAACGGGGCTACAACTCTCGAAACGACCGGCCGGGGTCGTTACATTTCGCATGTCTTAAATCTGTTTTATTTTTAATTTTGGGAAATCAAAATCTCAATTTCCCCCCAAAATTGTCGATGGGTTCAGATCAAAGTATCCGAAGTTGGTTGACCGAATCCGGGACGTATCCCGCTCCCGTCCCGTGTCGAGACGGGTGCAGCGCCAAAAACGAAGAGTCCGCGCAACTTAGGTGGCAGCACATGAGGCTGCTGAGCTTACTTTGTTGGTCCCTTTGAGGGTACCAATTTGTGTGCCATTCACGCCAGAAGGGTCAAGGGTTACCATTATGCCTAAGGATATTCAGTTGGTCAGGTACTTCAGGGATGAAATGGCTTAATCTTGCTGATCTGCTTCCTTAGTAAGTTTTTGTAAAATTCATGGTGAAACAGACATTTTGTGGGGGTTCGTTGTTTTGCTTTAAATGTTTGGAAATGAAGATGAAATTCCTCCAAAAAGATCTTGTGTTGTTTCTTATTCTGATCTCTCTGCTTTTGTCTCTGTGCCAAGGAGAATACAGAAATTTCAACATTGAAGCTTCGAAGGCAGGCTCATTTTCCTTATCGTTTTTTTTCAAAAGAAAATGAAAATTGGATATGAATATGAAAGTATTGGTATCACAGACTTGAGACTTGGTTACTGATGGGTGATTTAAGGTTTTATGATTAATTTATGTATGGACTCTGCCAAATCAACAACCAGCAGAGAATGGATTCCACTTCTCTCCAATGAGTTGAACACTCGTGATTTCAGTTTAGCAGATTAAATAACACATATACGCAACTGTATAAATAGGAACTTCTGCGGGGAGCAGTAATGGCGCAGAGGAACCTTTCTGTTGCAGCTTCTATTTTTAGTTTCAGTCGTGGTGGTCATGTTTTATAATTTAAGGGCTCCCAGATTGGAGCAAAATAGGATTGTTTTTCTAATATGGCTTGTTAAGTAGGCTTTTTATTGAGGTTAGTCACGTGACACATGTGATGTACCGTGAAGTTGCTTAGCATGTTAGGTTTGAGAGCAAAGATGGTCAACTTTTACATACTTGGAGAAATATATCCGTTTAAGGTGATATTCAGAGGATTAAGTTCATTGAAGTGATACTTAAAGGACTATTTGGTGAAAGCTCACGAATTTCTACTCTCTTTATTTGACGAATCTTCAACTGTATACTACTTTGCAATGCATATTCCCTTATCATTGTACTCTTCTTAAAGATTCTTGGATGCATTTTGTATTCTTGATGTGTTCCCAAGATCTGCCCAACTTTAGTGTGATGATAATTACGAATTGTGATCTACTGGGTGTGTTTTACTCTCTCTGAATCTGATGAGATGCTTTCACATGTTCTTTACTTTGCAGCACATATTCCTTTGTATTTGTACCCTTTTCTAAATACAACAAGCAAATCAAGACCTTTTGAATATTTGAGGCTTACTAGCTTAGGTGTCATTGGTGCCCTTGTGAAGGTAACATTTCTAATGTATTTCACGCATACTTTCTCTTCTTTCAGTATTTATATTAAGATTCATTCATGTCACATTATACTATGTACTGGGAATCACTGAAAGCATGAGAAAGAAACCACGAGAAGGAAGTGCAATTCGAGATTCCGAAGATGCTACTTATGGGATCCATAAACATTGTCAAAAATGGGATATAATAAACATATTGAAATTAACTTTTTATATGTCTGCTTACTGAAATTTCATGTTTATTAAAGTGCAATATTCATCACGTGCATCTGGTTGCATTTGTGCTTCTCCATTTTTACTTCAAAATTTAATGTAGTCTATTATTTGATCGTCTCTTTACAGGTAGATGATACTGAAGTAATCAGTTTTCTACTATCAACAGAAATAATTCCCTTGTGTCTGCGCACAATGGAGATGGGCAGTGAACTGTCAAAAACGGTTGAGTGCTTCCCCGAAGCCTTTCTTTCCTAACTTGTAACTGAAATTTATGTTGGTTATATACTCATGATGTCTTCAACAGACTCTTCAGATACCAAAACAAAGACAATTTGTGCCGCACAATTATATATTACTCGTTATGAAAACTTTCTTGTTTCTACATTCTCTTGTATTATTACCAGTTACATCCTCTCTCCATAAGTATCAGCTTTTCACGCATCTAATTTAGAGTCACGCTGACAGGTTGCAACTTTCATTGTGCAAAAAATACTTCTAGATGATGTGGGTCTGGATTACATATGCACCACAGCAGAGAGGTTTTTTGCAGTCGGCCGAGTTTTAGGGAGTATGGTAGGTGCACTTGCTGAACAGCCTTCATCAAGATTACTGAAGCACATAATTAGGTGCTATCTTCGGTTGTCAGATAATCCAAGGTGAGACTTCTGCAAATCAGCATTTAAATATCCTTTCAGCTCTGTTATGTATAACAGATCTGGTTTCACGGAACTTCCACCTTTTATGCTGCACTGTGAGCGAATGCTGGTGTTCATGGTTTATGGCAGGGCATGTGATGCACTAAGAAATTGTCTCCCTGATATGCTTAGGGATGCCACCTTCAGTAGTTGTCTTCGTGTATGTACATTTCTCATTTAAGTGGTTCATCTTTTTGGCTAAGCTCTTAGTTTTCTCTCAGTTAAGAACATGAAAGCATTCTTTTATGCTCATCAGACACTTGTTTTCTTTTTCTATATTCATGATGGGTTCTTTTTCNCCTTTTACGCTGCACCATGAGTGAATGCTGATGTGCATGGTTTATGGCAGGGCATGTGATGCACTAAGAAATTGTCTCCCTGATATGCTTAGGGATGCTACATTCAGTAGTTGCCTTCGTGTATGTACATTTCTTGTTCATCTTTTTCGCTAAGCTCGTAGTTTTCTCAGTTAAGAACATGAAAACATTCTTTTTATGCTTATCAGGCGCTTGCTCTATTTTTTTTCTTTTCTATATCCATGATGGTTTCTTTTTACTTATGCTCAACAGGAGGATCCTACAACGAGGAGGTGGCTACAGCAATTGATTCACAATGTTAATGGTAGCCGTGTTGCTCTACAGGCAGGAGGATTTGATCATTTGCTGGTGAACTAAATTGAGATCTTATTTGTGTTATCCGTGCAGTCTTAGACCACTAAGACTCACTTCATATAGGTGGTTTGGTATAAGGCTCATTTAGGTGTTTGCTAGGAAGGTGTCTCTTTTAATCTGATTGCTGGTCTTTTTTGGAGTTATATTGTGTTATGTAAAGAAACACAACATTATGGTTAAACCTCAGACATTTGGGTCTGAAGTTAGGCTTGGTTGTTCAAACTTCAGACATACAAGTCTGAAATTCGGGACGACTAAGCTTAATTTCAGACATTTTATATGTTAGGCTTTGGTAAGCCCAACTTCAGATCCATATGACTGAAAATTTATGTCTGAAGTTGATTTTGAAGTGGCTACATCTTTTTTATTTGTGAATTTCGGTTATTCTTTAAAAGGGGTCCCCAAAGCGGCTATCTGGTCACTTCCCCCATCAGTAAATGAGGTACTTAGAATGGGTGAAATTCAAAAGTACCCAGATTTACAAGTGGTAATTGAAAAATAGCCACAGTTTCAAAAGTAATTGAAATTTAGCCACTTTTCATGTAAGATAAAAATGAACCAAAACGCTATTCAAAATTTGGGAAATATTCTATTATGCTGGAGTTCGAATTTTTTACATGTGAATTTCTAGCACAACATGTTGGAATTTCATAATGTGCTGGAAGTTCATACACAGGTGCTCCAATCTCCAGTATATTATGCTGGAACTTTTCGTGTGCTGGAGTTCCAGCATAATATGTTGGAAATTCATACAGAGGTGCTCCAATCTCCAGTATATTATGCTGGAACTTTTCGTGTGCTGGAGTTCCAGCATAATATGTTGGAAATTCATACAGAGGTGCTCCAATCTCCAGTATATTATGTTGGAACTTTCAGTGTGTTGGAGTTCCAACATATTATGCTGGAAGTTCATAAATATGTGCTCCAATCTTCAGTATATTATGCTGGGAACCTTTCGTGTTGCAGCAAAATAATGGTTATTTTTTAATAACTTTGCAAATGCTGGCTATTTTTTTTTCAATTATCGGTCGGAAAATTGGCTAGCCCGTGCTATTTTAACCTTGAGATGGGTAGTCAAGATGTGCTCAATAATGGATCATACTAACCTTATCTACCCCACTTCAACGACATTTTAATTTCATTGTTTGTTCTCTTATAATTCATTCAAATAAAACATAATAAAATTTTGTTCTTTGTTATAATAATATCTAACAATATCAGACAAAAAGGTTTTTCTTATTTATATTTTGGCAAGTTTTTCCCATATCTATTATCTAGCTTTTACTTGTGCCGTGCCAAAATTGAGTTGCCATGCAAATATGTCCAACCCAACCCTGGCGGGTGATATTTTCATGAGCTGAGTAGGGAGAAAAGAACTCAAATTTAGATGTTCATACACGAATTTGGGTAAGATAGAGATGATCAAAACTAATACAAGAATTTAATTATCACAGTATCAAAATTTGCACAGAAATAAAACAAAGTTCCTTTCTCTATGATGTGTACCCCCTTCCATTTGAATATCAAATTATCACCAAACATTGGTTTAGGCAAAATGTGTGATTAGACATTGTCAATTTTATTGTATCATGTCAAAGAATCTGTATTTTTTTCTTTTCCTTTTTTAGTCCATAATGCATTTGAGCTTTATATTTAAAATTCGAAACATGATTTGTTAATATATATGAGCTTATGACGTCCAAGTGTCACTTGTGTGCAGTGTAATACATGAATTTAGTGGTAGGTTTCTGTGCTTAAGCTATATGTGGAGTGTGCGCATGGGCCATGGGAGGTGTGCTGAGATGCAATATAATGCAAACGACCTAAACTGCTAAAGTGCCATAATCTTGATCCAGGGAGACAACAAGCAGTAATAAGTATGCAATGTATTACTAGTGATGCAATAAAATATCGTCTTAAATGAAGTCAGATATCCAAAAGGAAGGCTGATGATGGTGAATATAGTCAGTGGCGAAGCTAGAAATATTTTCAAGGGTGTTCAAACTTGAAAGAAGTAAAAAAAAAACTTCGACAAAGAGTGTTCAATATAGGTTTTATATATCTAAAATCGATATTTTGCTTATATATATTTTTTATAATTTTTTATAATTTTTCGGCGAAGGATAGTCAACAAGGTGGCTACGCACATGAATATAGTGCGTTGTCAGTGCCACTATCATCGAAACATGTGCACACTTATATACATATGCTCTCAATAGTGGCAGTTTATTTTTTTAGAAGCTCACAAATCACTCCCCAACCACAGACAAAATCAAAACTTGGGACTTCTCAAATCTATGAGTTTGTCAACTTTAAATGTAATTTTATCAGAGCTCAATAACGTGCACAAGATCTATGTGATTACCCTATGGTTATTATGTTCAGAAATTGTAATTAATTTGTGTCCATTTTAAACTCTGTTTCTTTACCAACTATTAATAATGAGCTACATCATGTATCTTTTTTGCTTTGAAAGATTTGCTTGATTTGTGCCCTAAGAAGGTGGTGAACTATGTGTAGAGGTTGTAAAATTTCTACACTGAGAACATTCATGCAGAATNATATATATATGTTAAAAATTCATAAAATATGAATTTAAAATTTCGAAACCAATTATTAGCACTTGATATGGTTGTCATATAATCCAAAACCTATAAAGTATTTATTGTATGCATAGTATGAAACGGTAACTCGGGGCTATGCATTAATAATAAACAATGTCCTCTAATTTAAGGGGTCATTATGTATTCTCCCTTAAGTTTTACTCAAATACATGTGTGGAGAGATGGAAGATATGCTGCTAATAAATGATTTACACGAGATACTCCAATTAATAGAAGTAATGAGCTATCATGATTTTAGATCCCTTTTTCTCGGATGATGCATGTGAGAATATGTTCATCGCATTTTATAATTTAAATATAGCTACTCAAATATTCTATTAAGCATAACATATTCACTATCAAAGTAAATTGAGCACAAGTTTATTTTTATTGTATGCTTTCTCATGTTAGGATTCACTTGTATGAAATTGCAGATCCTCAATTTATTTATATATAATACTATTAGATAATTAACTCAGGGCTATGCATCAATAAAAAAACTATCTACTCTAAATTAGAGAGGACTTTATGTATTCTCCCTTTAGTTTTACTCAATGCATGTGCCGAAAGATGGAAGACATGATATAATAAATGATTCACATGAGATGCTCCAATTAATAGAAGTAATGAGTTGTCATAATTTTAGATCCTTTATTCTCTGATGATGCATATGAGAATCTGTTCATAGCATTTTGTAATGTAAATATGGCTACTCAAGCAATCTATTATGCATAACATACTTCACTATTGAAGAAAATTGAACACAATTTTATATTTATTGTACGCTTTCTCATGTTAGAATTCGCTTGTATGGAACTGCATATCCTCCATTTATTTGTATATAATATTATTAGGTAACTTAGGGCTATGCATATATAGAAAACTATCTACTCTTTATTCTAAGGTCTTGGCCCGTATAACAATAACAGTTTAGTGTGAAGATATCATTAAGGACGATGATCATTTTGTTTGGGCACATAATACATGAAATAGCAAAACTGCGTTTTGCTATAGGAAGAACACAAGGCACTAGAGAGGTGTCATAAAATTGAAGTCAGATCGACGATTAAACTATGTTTGCATGTTACACTCGGTGATAAAATCAGGTGGAGCAAAAGAGGTTCAATTCAATCACGTTCGTCAAAAAAAATATACTGGATAAATAGCAAAACAATATATATATATATATATATACATACATTGTTGAATCTCCAACAACTAAATTGATTGGAAGAACTATTGCACTGCGGGAACTCCTTTTCTATACAAGTTCTCGGACGACGAGTGAAGTTTCTGCCTTTGTTGAGTAAGGTCCAATCGAACTTATGTCCTTGCCAATTCTTTCACCATATGTTTTTCCTCGAGAATTCCTTTATATGTAGAAAGATTTTAGTGTAAGATGGAGGATCAAAATGCTTTAGGCCATAGGTAAATCACCAAATGTGACATTGAAATTTTTATTTGAATTCCCTTATATAAAATTCCTGGCTCCGTCACTGATTGCGCTAATGTGGATTAGTTTACAATTTATATGGTTGGGCACTTTGAATATTAATGAGAAATATTATTAAAACTACGATAAAAACTTTTAATTACAAAATCAAGATACCCAATCAAAATCATAAGCGAGGATATGCAAAATATCCTTTAATAAGTTTATTGAATTTTTTGGTACATTGTTCATTAATTGACTATTTTATGCTTAGTATCATAGTTTATTAGTTATAGTTAGGGCTCACCATACTGTAAGATGGGTTTATCTTCAACTCCCGCGCCTACCTTCATAAAATAACCGAGTTAAGATAGGGTCACCTCCTATTTTTTAAACAGGCAACTAGGAAGCACGATCTACTGTAAAATACTTTTTGACAGGCTATCAAATTTCAACTGTCTGAATGCACTTTCCTTTTACTGGAACTTGGAAGTAAGATAGAAAGAGAAATTAAACTATAGATTAAAATATTTTTAAAAATGCTAGCTTTGACACGACCTGACATAAAAAGGTATTGTATTATGAAATAGAAAAGAAAACATAAAAATAAATGTAGTTCATTTACAAGGAGGTCTATAAATTATGCCGCTTCAGAAGCAACAAAATGCAAGAAAAAACCTATACAACACGTTGTGTACTATTCTTGATATGACATTGCTTAAGTTTGGTTTTATTCTCTCTATTCTTATCATGGCAACCACAAGTTAGTATTCATCCATCGTTATTTATGATTATAATCGTGTATTATTGTGTGTATATATATATATATGTATGTATGTATTTCGTATTTATTAACAATAAGTTAATTTATGTTATGTATGTCTGCCTTTTCGTATTAAATCATTCAGTAATTGATTGTGATGATTTTGATTGTATTTTAGTGAATGTGGCGTGGTTCTCAACGACGCAAGTGTCTGCGGCACGAGATGTTAATAGTAATTTCTTTCAGTTCGAGAGAAGACTACTTCCGCAACTTAAAACTTGTGAGCGTACTTGCAATTTCGACAGTGATTGTAGTGATTGATGGATTTGTTGTAGATGCCTTGGCGCCAGATGCTGGTATCCCTTTTAGTTCGTGCTTCCTTTGACCACGAGCAAATAAGACATCAATACGATCAAAATGGATTCCGCTACCAATCCTTGTTAGAGTCCGAAACTTTTTTAATTATTTTTTGGACAAAAAATATTTTTGTACTATTGAAAAAAAAAAAGTTACATAAATGAGTAAAACGCAGTATTATACTGCGAATTACTTTAACGGAAATTTTGTCG